TTTAAGAAATACACTGTAATATTTTGATTCCTTTTAATACTTTAAGAAATACACTGTAATATTTTGATTCCTTTTAATACTTTAAGAAATACACTGTAATATTTTGATTCCTTTTAATACTTTAAGAAATACACTGTAATATTTTGATTCCTTTTAATACTTTAAGAAATACACTGTAATATTTTGATTCCTTTTAATACTTTAAGAAATACACTGTAATATTTTGATTCCTTTTAATACTTTAAGAAATACACTGTAATATTTTGATTCTCTTGATTGTTTTATATTCCCGAAAACTTCGCGGAAAGACAAGTGATTTTTAAAATCAAAATTTATTTGAAACAACACAGAAAAATATTATATGAAATTTTTATAACTCTCATATTATTTGAAATGACGTTTATACATTTTAATAATACATGTGTACTTATAACTGAAACCACAAATCAGCGATCTGTCTCGATCTCAGTTTTATTTTGTTAAATTACAAGTTGATAGGATGTATACTTTACTGGTGGTTTGTTGGTGCATCTAAATAACGTTTTATATATCTGCTAATTAGCCAGATGTGATCAACTGATGGAAGTGTAGCTATTAAGACGCTAATTTGTGAGAGTAAATTAAATCGTTTCGATAACGATCAAGAAGAAAAGACGGTAATACAATAATAAACACTTCTTCATTGTTGGTGTAAGTATAAGCTGACTTTTGGCATTGTAGTTGGGATTTAAGTATAAGGATGACTTTTGACATTGTAGTTGAGATTTAAGTATAAGCTGACTTTTGACATTGTAGTTGAGATTTAAGTATAAGATGACTTTCGACATTGTAGTTGAGATTTAAGTATAAGCTGACTTTTGGCATTGTAGTTGGGATTTAAGTATAAGATGACTTTCGACATTATAGTTGGGATTTAAGTATAAGCTGACATTCGACATTGTAGTTGAGATTTAAGTATAAGATGACTTTTGAAATTGTAGTTGAGATTTAAGTATAAGATGACTTTCGATATTGTAATTGAGATTTAAGTATAAGCTGACTTTCGACATTGTAGTTGGGATTTAAATGTAAGCTGATCTTTGACTTGTAGTTGGTATTTAAGTGTAAGCTGATCTTTGACTTGTATTTGGGATTTAAATGTAAGCTGATCTACTCTAGTCATTGTAGTTGTATGAGATGTATGTATTGAAGACCCACACCTACTATAGCCATTGTAGCACCTAGGTAAGTTAAGCTGGTGAGATGTACTTAGAGTAGGTGTAGGTCTTCGGTAGCCCATTTTATAGATTTGCACTAAAACAAACTCATATTTAACATCTCGCTCAAACTCTCCTACTTTCTGTATCAGTTTTTAATGTATAAGAAACATTTCGAATACGGTTTATTATAAAAATGAAATTTTGATATCTTAATTTCACTTTTTGAGTTAACAATGATATACAATATTTCTATAACAGCACATAATACATGATGTCTTCTCAATATTTATTGTAATGTAGGTGACTTTATTGAAACTTTCCACGGGTAAATAAGATGTGTAATGGTGCCAATCTTCTCACAACTAAAGCTTAGGATGTTTTATGCTTTAAAAATATTCTGATTGAACTCTTATGTACACCAAGACTGAGTCAATGATGTTAACATTGACTCTGACTATTTTTTATTTTTTACTTATTTTCAGAACCTCTGTTTCCTCTTCTTGCGGGGGCACATTGCTCTTGGTTTGGAAGACCCGTACAACCGGTTTAACCAGGCTGAAGACTCGGTTTATGGAGGACCCCGTACGTACAGCGATTATGTTCGATACCCGTATGACAAGTACATTTATCGCGATGCACCAGATTACAGATACGGGACTCATTATGACAGTTCTAGCAATGGCAAGTATTCCTATGGCAACAGGTATAATGATCTTTATGGAAAGCGTCCAGTAAACAGCTACAACAGTCGATACCAGCAAACCACCAGTAAATACAGTCTCGATAACAGACCTGATTATCAGGATCGGTACAATCCTTCATACCATTCAAGTAATGAACCAGAAGGACGTTACTATGGAAACAGATATACGTACTATCGAGATGAGCCAAAGTACTCATTTGATCGGAATCACAATCCCAGTTATTCTCCATATCGATACAACGATAATGAGTTATCCAAACAAAAGGATTACCGCCACGACTCACGGTATGGAGATCGAAACTATCCGGACGATCATCGTATCTATTATAACCTTCAGACGGGGGAATATAGAGTATCAGGTGACAAGGAACATTCCAATTCATATCGTCCCTATGGTGGTATTAATAATTCTTATCCTGGCTATTACCAGTCTAGTTACGGACTCTTAAAGGATTACTTGGGATATGAGTGGGCCAGTCCATCTGGCTATCTCGGATACGGGCCAGGATATAGACGAAGCTATAGTAAGGAGGAAACCAGCAAGGATGCTGTCAAGGAAGAAGAATGAAGTATTTTTTTTTTACTCTGCTTCATCTTATAGGTAAGTTAATATGCATTAGTCACTCAAATGTAACTCAAATTTTAAACGTTCTAACGATACTGCATATATTTGCAGAATACTAAATGGTAATCGCCACGTCATATTGATGATCACGAAGACAATATTGTCTGTTTTTTCGTTTCATACCTTGTCAGGGAAATGGCCCTAAAACGCCTTACATCCCACAAGATGGCGAGTTTCCTTTCAAGACTTCAACGAAAATACAGCGAATTATGTTAATACTTCGAAACTCTGACGATAACAAACGAATGACACTTGTCCAAAGGAGGAATGACACTCGGAAATGAATTTCCAATACAATGATTTACTGATTTACAAGCTTAATAGTCAGATTTAATCAGAATTGCTCCAATTTCGAAATGAAAACATCTATTATTATTATTTGTGTTGTTGTTTCTACTGTCTTGTCTATACTAAATTAATATACATATATATATATACTATTCTGCTACAGAAAATTATAAATGTATGACAACCCCTGTAAAGGAGGGTTAATTTATTTCTAAAATTGTGTAACACCTTTTAAAAAAACGAAGTGAGAGCATTATCATGATTCCAGACTTTCATAGATAACGATTAAATGAGCACAACAACAAACATTTGACGTGAAAAGAATGCAGACGTTTTTTTCGGTTCAGAGTATCTTCATCACATTAACTCTACCTAGCTTATACAATTTCAGTTCACAGAGTACCCGAGTACCTTTCATCAACACATTAACCCTACCTAACTTGTACACTGTTAGTTTAGAAAACACCCAAGTATATTTTACCAACACATTAACCCTACCTAACTTGTACACTATTAGTTAAAGAACACCCGAGTACCTTTCATCAACACATTAACCCTACCTAACTTGTACACTATTAGTTTAGAGAACACCCGAGTACCTTTCACCAACACATTAACCCTACCTAACTTGTACACTATTAGTTGAGAGAACACCCGAGTACCTTTCATCAACACATTAACCCTACCTAACTTGTACACTATTAGTTTAGAGAACACCCAAGTGCCTTTCATCAACACATAAACCCTACCTAACTTGTACATAAAACTGATTGACAAAGAACTGAAAAATGAGAATTACATATAAATAAAACGACCGTAAACTCCAGAGAATCGAACAAGTTGTTTTATTTCAAGTAAATAAAACAACCTGTAAAGTCCTCTGGAGTTTAGTGTCGTTATATTTGTCTCTTCTAATTATATGTACTATGCTCCATTCAGCAATACGTAAATTAAAACAATTAAATAAACTGAATACGAACTCTCACATGACATGCATTCGTCTTCTCTTATGTGGTGCTTTGGTATTACGAAAATATCTTATGACTTATCATCGCTTTTCCTGCAAATTCTCTAGGTATGCCTATAAAGTTACCCTTGCAATTTATCTAGCTATGCATACAAAGTTATCCTTGCAATTTATCTAGCTATGCATACAAAGTTATCCTTGCAATTTATCTAGCTATGTATACAAAGTTATCCTTGCAATTTATCTAGCTATGCATATAATTAAAGAATTATCCAGGTAAGCAGTCAAAATATTAGGTCGTCAAGAAATTAATGTCGCTTTTTTAGATGAAAAAAACCGACAAAAAATGAAATAGTCCCCATTCTTCTCGATGATGCTTTTCTATCTTACAGTCAGGTTGTTAATGCCCTGATTAAAGAAATAACTTAGCTTTGAAACAAAAAATATGTCGATGTCCTCTTCAACACCTTCCACATTTGCATACGTTTTCCCATTAAGATGGTGGGGGAGAACTTTCCAACCCAACTCCATAATCTTGTGTTCGTCAAACGTGCAACATGTCGACGTGCAATGTCGTGGAGAAGAAGAACACCTTTCCAATTGACGAGTGAAGAGCTTGATTTAAACGTTCCAGTTGCTAACTGTAGATCTCTGCATTGACAGTTCACTGTGGATTGAGGAGTTCGAAATGAGTTACTCCTTTGATGTCTCTCCAAATGCAAAGCATCACTTTCTACGGATGGAGTCCAGATTTTGGGGCCGGAAGTGTTTTTTGTCTAGGACTGAGCCACTGTTTATGGCGTTTAATATTCGCATAGAGAATCCATTTTTCATCACCGGTGACAATTCTGTCCAAAAATGGTTCACGCGCATTACGCGCCAGAAGAGACAAATCAATGTTCACACGTTGGAAATGATGATCATCGGAGAGTTCGTGAGGCACCCAAGCACCTTCTTTAAGGAGTTTTCTCATATTCCTTAGATATTTATGTATTGTTTCATGAGAGACATGAAATTTCAGGGGCATTTTACGAGTGTGTTGCCTTGGGTTAG